CTGTTGGTGAAAGAGAAACGCTTTCAAACTACACAGAGCTCTTTTTCAGGTCTGGGAAAAGTATTCTCTGTCACAGCTAAATACAGTTGTTTAGCACAAGTAGTTGATACATTTTAAGGGACCACTCAAGATGAAGTGGCCTGTTAACACCCCTACAGTCATAAAACAAAACAAACAAAAAAAGACTTGTGAAACCTTTAACAAACAAAACCTTTAATCTCCATGCCAGAGGACAGCTATAGGGTCCCTGAAATCAAACCACCAGATAGTGATCAAATCAGCAGACAAAGGGGGTGCTATGAGGCCAACCAGCAATTCTCCAACAGCACCTACTATAAAGAAATCAAAATCCCACACTGCAATTCACCCAGCACTTTAAGGATATCATGAAATCCTTCCCAAAACATTACTCCAAGGAAAAAATCCTACAGTCTCATCCTCAATCCCATCTCAGGGATCTTCTATATGCTTCCAAGATACACAGGTAGATCCATCATATCTGACTCTTACTGAAAGAATATCAGAACTCATAGACACCATCCTCAAACTACTCACCACACAAAGGGCCAGCTTTCTCCAGGACACAACTGACTTCCTCCAGAAACTCTGCAACATTATCAACCTCCATCAGAATGCTATCCTTGCCACTAGGGATGTCACCTCCATATACGCCAACGTCCCTAACAAATGGTGGCATTGATTCCTATCTCAAACATCTCAGAGACAATGGACAACACTCAGATATTCCCTCATAATACATTGTTAAACTCCTCCATTTCATCCTCACCCATAACAATTTTACATTCAACAACAAACACTTTGGCCAAACCATGGGAACAGCTATGGATATGAGGATGCTTTCCAATATGCCAACTTCATGGACAAATGCACCAGAAAACCAATGATATACCTAAGCTACCACAATGATATTTTTATTCTCTAGACAGATGACCTAAACTCCCTCATAGATTTCCACCATCATTTTAACAACCACCAGCCATTCATCAAATTCTCTCTAGAATATTCCTGTACCAAGATCAGTTTCATGGATGCTATGACCAGTTTCAATGATGGAACCCTATATAGACAACTACATACAAGAATACCACAGATCACCACACTTACCTCCACAGATTCAATAACTACCTCAATCGCACCAAGAAATCTGTTATCTACAGCCAGGCCCTCAGATGTGACAGAATATGATACAAGGAGAAAGTCCAGGAGCACACCTTAACACACTTAAAACTGTCTTCACCAAATAAGGATGCTCCACCAGAGAAGTAGATCACATCATGGAATGGGCTACCTAAATACCCTGAGAGAACCTGATTAAACACGGGGGGGGGAAGGGGGCAGGGGGAGGGGTTTGGGAGCCTCTGACCACACATCCCTAGTTGTCTTCTGCCACCTCCCCTGGAACCCATATGGGGTATCCTTAAACAATTACAACTTATACTTGATGTATAGCAAGCATATATGTATATAGCACTCTGACCTCACTTCCACCAGTTTTACGTGTTGAGTTACGCTGAAGTAAATGTCGTTACTCAGTAACTCAGTACTGCCAACTGCAAACATTCTAATACCATGAGCCAGGTGCAGGGGGGGAATCATGAAGTGTGCTTAAAAATAAGATTTTTTTAAAAAATGTTAAATTTGGGCTTCTTTTTACTTGCCTTCTGGGTTTTATGCCTTTTGGATTCACGCTTTTAAGTTTTTTTTCTCTCTGCAACCATGAAGGATAGAAATTCTCATTTATTATAAAATGAGAGCTGCATTCTCATGTAGTAATAGCATTCCAGGAGCTGACTCGAAAGGAAAATACCAAATATCATGAGACACACAATAAAATCAAGAGAGCTGGCAACAGTGTGGGAGTGTGGCTGCAGAGACCAAAGGTGATCCCCCATCTTGGAAGGCAGGGTCTGGATTGCAAGGATAGATCAGCAAACTGTAGATGGTACCAGGTACTAGGTGCTAGTTGCTATAATATAAAACCTTTTTGAATAAAGGAATAATTTTTAAATACAAATTCTCATTGCTTTAATGCAAATAGAATCCCTGATGACTGAGGCTGTTTGGAAGTGGCCATGAATAAGCACATCTCCCAGGTAGCCTGGCTCCATCCACTATTTTGGCTACACCAATTGCCTCAAAGACCTCAAGCAGACATTTTCACCATGGGGGTCTTGCAGCTTGGCATGTACTATAGTGAAAATCAAGCCCTAGGCATTGTTTTTATAAGTCTGACCTGGCATTATTTTATGTATTTTTTTAATCTATGTTATATGATGTATTTCTCTTTCCCTGAACTCATCTCCTGTTGCATTAATATTTAATATTGATCTTTTTTTAATTGGCTGTGCTGTAAAAGCATGTAGTATGAAGACACTGCCTGGATAATTTTTGCTTCACAGAGCTTTTCACAAGGAAAAGAAATGAAGTTAGCCTCATCGCTTTATTGTTTTTTTGGGTCAACATTTGATTAGACTCACGTGCTAAAAGCTTTGTCCTCAAATGCCGATGTTATTGATGACCAAGATGCAAATGGGTTTGGGGTGATACCATTAACATTCATCTCCTAAAAATACGTTGTGGGGCGAATCCTTAACCCTAGGAGTTTTTACATCTACTGAGGTGTTTGACTCCATAACTAATAAACCACTCGCATAGATTATATTAACACGTTAACAAACGGGTTGTTCACTGTTTATGCAGTAAATGAGCCTTATAAATAGGGTTGTCAGTGTTCCCTGAATGGCTGCTAATTTATGTGCAGCTGTTTGATTAATCTAAAATGCACACCATTAGAGACGACCAAACTGGTTCAGAGGAAACAAGAACCGATCCAAACATTTGAGTGTACTGCCGTGCTGCCAGCTCTGATGATTTTATCACTCTCAAGCCTCATGGCATTTGGTTTGTGTTGTTGTTTTTTTTAAAATCCCGGGTCCTTGGGCCATGGAAGTATATGAGAGTCTCTGGTTTCCTTTCAAATCAAAAGTTATGTTTCTAGCCCTCACGGGGTTGCAAAGAAGAGCCTGAAAACATGATCTGAGTGCACCCCAAGGGCTCAGAAACTAGAAAGCAAATAAAAAGAACCCACAGTTTGGCTTAAAATCATGGTTTAAAAAATTAATCTCTTGATTTTTTGGGGGAAGGGGTGGGGCTGACTCATGATTTTTTGAATGCTTTGGGTTGGCAATAATGCTAGTGAAACAGAATCATTTAGTACCAGGACCCAGGGAAAGAGGAAGCCGATTGGCTCCGGCAAGGCCTCCCACTTCCCACTCTATGGTTAAGTATTACCAGTCGATCATCCTGCTGAAGGCTGCCCCACCCTGCCCTGCCTTAAAGCCAGTGTAGTTGTCAGAGCTGGGTATCCAGGCTTGCTGGAGCGTTTAACCACATTGCCTTTCTGGGTCTGAGAGGAATTTTTCTCTGTGGGCAAGATTTACAAATGTCCGGTTGTTTTTGTTTTTTTGTTGTTTGCCTTCTTCACAGCAGCCCAGAGGCCTGATAATTGTGGCTAAAAAGGATTAGGAGTGTCCAAAAAAAAAAAAGTTCTGATCGTGGTAAAGAACATCACTCAATATTGTTGCAAAGGGTAGCCTTGTCCAGTGCAGGTCAGAGGCCTCAAGGGGCCAACTCTCAGGGTAAATCTAAGCACAGCACCCAACAAGGGCTGGTGGTCTGAACCATGAATTTGATAGTGGAAGTTTTGCTAGGAGGGCAGCAATTCCTTGATTGTATGATATGAGGCCATTTAGTCTGACACTGGACCCAATTAATACCTGATAGTTTCAGGAGGAGCACTGAGCTTCTTTCATAAAACAATAATGTTGTGTCCTGGCACTGTAAATCTATTCACATACCTATTTTTTCCATGCCTTGATCAATGTACCATGCACGTGGTTTTCTGAAGTTTAAACGTTCCCCAAATTATCCAGCTGTACTGTCCATAAACAGGAAAGTGGCTGAAATAATTACCATCACTGCAAGTGTCCTTCATGATAGAGAATATTGACTTTCAGTGGCTGTTACCACATATTGAGCTATGTGAGTCTCTTCCAATTGAAAATTCCTCTCAGCAAATGCTGTGTCCGGCATACTGATGGCAGCTCATTGAACACAGCGGGGTGTGCTCTCAGAAAAGCAGAGGGAATGTTTGTGATATATGAACAACAATGCAAAACAGCTGAGTATCTATCACAAGTGGGTTAATTTTAAGTCTGAGGAGGATGGAATTCTTACTTGTAGCAAAATTTCTGGGCCTGAAATATATTCCTGCCACCATGACTGCTACTATCCAGAGGAATGGGCATCCATACACGCTACTGAAAATGACTGCTCTAAGTTACAGTCTTCCTTCTAACAGAGACAGTTGAGAATGGTCAGAGGTAAGGGGATTCTTAGAATCTAAGAGCCTGGTTCAAAGCCCACCAAAGCCAATATTAAGGCCATAAGGGCCGAAATCTCCTCCCATAGTAGTTCCATTCAAGTCTGTGGCATTTCAATAGCATAAAGCCAGTGTAAGTGAGAGAAGACTCAAGCCCTAATGTTGTTCGCAACCTAATAACAAAAAGAGCAATAATCTGTCTCAGGCCAGTGAGTTTTTGGCTTCCTCACTCCTAGCTCAGTCAATTGACATCACTTTCATGGAACCAGAATTCTGTGAGTGCAGCAGGAAACATGAGAATTGCATTCAGTTCAGTTAGCCCTGGTCTACACTAGGACTTTAGGTCGAATTTAGCAGCGTTAAATCGATTTAAACCTGCACCCGTCCACACAATGAAGCCCTTTATTTTGACTTAAAGGGCTCTTAAAATCAATTTCCTTACTCCACCCCTGACAAGTGGATTAGCGCTTAAATCGACATTGCCGGCTCGAATTTGGGGTACTGTGGACACAATTCGATGGTATTGGCCTCCGGGAGCTATCCCAGAGTGCTCCATTCTGACCGCTGTGGACAGCGCTCTCAACTCAGATGCACTGGCCAGGTAGACAGGAAAAGAACCGCGAACTTTTGAATCTCATTTCCTGTTTGGCCAGCGTGGCAAGCTGCAGGTGACCATGCAGAGCTCATCAGCACAGGTGACCATGATGGAGTCCCAGAATCGCAAAAGAGCTCCAGCATGGACCGAACGAGAGGTACGGGATCTGATCGCTGTTTGGGGAGAGGAATCCGTGCTATCAGAACTCCGTTCCAGTTTTCGAAATGCCAAGACCTTTGTCAAAATCTCCCAGGGCATGAAGGACAGAGGCCATAACAGGGACCCGAAGCAGTGCCGCGTGAAACTGAAGGAGCTGAGGCAAGCCTACCAGAAAACCAGAGAGGCGAACAGCCGCTCTGGGTCAGAGCCCCAAACATGCCGCTTCTATGATGAGCTGCATGCCATTTTAGGGGGTTCAGCCACCACTACCCCAGCCGTGTTGTTTGACTCCTTCAATGGAGATGGAGGCAATACGGAAGTAGGTTTTGGGGACGAAGAAGATGATGATGAGGAGGAGGTTGTAGATAGCTCACAGCAAGCAAGTGGAGAAACCGGTTTTCCCGACAGCCAGGAACTGTTTCTCACCCTAGACCTGGAGCCAGTACCCCCCAAACCCACCCAAGGCTGCCTCCTGGACCCAGCAGGCGGAGAAGGGACCTCTGGTGAGTGTACCTTTTAAAATGCTATACATGGTTTAAAAGCAAGCATGTGAAAGGATTACTTTGCCCTGGCATTTGCGGTTCTCCTAGATGTAGTCCTAAAGCCTTTGCAAAAGGTTTCTGGGGAGGGCAGCCTTATTTCGTCCTTCATGGTAGGACACTTTACCACTCCAGGCCAGTAACACGTACTCGGGAATCACTGTAGAACAAAGCATTGCAGTGTATGTTTGCTGGCATTCAACCAAAATCCGTTCTTTATCTCTCTGTGTTATCCTCAGGAGAGTGAGATATAATTCATGGTCACCTGGTTGAAATAGAGTGCTTTTCTTCAGGGGACACTCAGAGGAGCCCATTCCTGCTGGGCTGTTTGCCTGTGGCTAAACAGAAATGTTCCCCGCTGTTAGCCACAGGGAGGGGAGAAGGTTGAGGGGGTAGTCACGCGGTGGGAGGAGGCAAAATGCGACCTTGTAACGAAAGCACATGTGCTATGTATGTAATGTTAACAGCAAGGTTTACCCTGAAAGAGTGTAGCGACTGTTTTATAAAATGTGTCTTTTTAAATACCGCTGTCCCTTTTTTTTTCTCCACCAGCTGCATGTGTTTCAATGATCACAGGATCTTCTCCTTCCCGGAGGCTAGTGAAGCTTAGAAAGAAAAAAAAAACGCACTCGCGATGAAATGTTCTCCGAGCTCATGCTGTCCTCCCACACTGACAGAGCACAGACGAATGCGTGGAGGCAAATAATGTCAGAGTGCAGGAAAGCACAAAATGACCGGGAGGAGAGGTGGAGGGCTGAAGAGAGTAAGTGGCGGGCTGAAGAGAGTAAGTGGCGGGCTGAAGACAGGGCTGAAGCTCAAATGTGGCGGCAGCGTGATGAGAGGAGGCAGGATTCAATGCTGAGGCTGCTGCAGGACCAAACCAGTATGCTCCAGTGCATGGTTGAGCTGCAGCAAAGGCAGCTGGAGCACAGACTGCCACTGCTGCCCCTCTGTAACCAACCGCCCTCCTCCCCAAGTTCCATAGTCTCCACACCCAGACGCCCAAGAACGCGGTGGGGGGGCCTCCGGCCAACCAGCCACTCCACCACAGAGGATTGCCCAAAAAAAAGAAGACTGTCATTCAATAAATTTTAAAGTTGTAAACTTTTAAAGTGCTGTGCTTAAAGTGCTGTGTGGCATTTTCCTTCCCTCCTCCACCACCCCTCCTGGGCTACCTTGGTAGTCATCCCCCTATTTGTGTGATGAATGAATAACGAATGCATGACTGTGAAGCAGCAATGACTTTATTGCCTCTGCAAGCAATGATTAAAGGGAGGAGGGGAGGGTGGTTAGCTTACAGGGAAGTAGAGTGAACCAAGGGGCGGGGGGTTTCATCAAGGAGAAACAAACAGAACTTTCACACCGTAGCCTGGCCAGTCATGAAACTGGTTTTCAAAGCTTCTCTGATGCGTACCGCGCCCTCCTGTGCTCTTCTAACCGCCCTGGTGTCTGGCTGCGCGTAACCAGCAGCTAGGCGATTTGCCTCAACCTCCCACCCCGCCATAAACGTCTCCCCCTTACTCTCACAGATATTGTGGAGCACACAGCAAGCAGTAATAACAGTGGGAATATTGGTTTCGCTGAGGTCTAAGCGAGTCAGTAAACTGCGCCAGCGCGCCTTTAAACGTCCAAATGCACATTCTACCACCATTCTGCACTTGCTCAGCCTGTAGTTGAACAGCTCCTGACTACTGTCCAGGCTGCCTGTGTACGGCTTCATGAGCCATGGCATTAAGGGGTAGGCTGGGTCCCCAAGGATACATATAGGCATTTCAACATCCCCAACAGTTATTTTCTGGTCTGGGAATAAAGTCCCTTCCTGCAGCTTTTGAAACAGACCAGAGTTCCTGAAGATGCGAGCATCATGCACCTTTCCCGGCCATCCCACGTTGATGTTGGTGAAACGTCCCTTGTGATCCACCAGATCTTGCAGCACTATCGAAAAGTACCCCTTGCGGTTTATGTACTCGGCGGCTTGGTGCTCCGGTGCCAAGATAGGGATATGGGTTCCGTCTATAGCCCCACCACAGTTAGGGAATCCCATTGCAGCAAAGCCATCCACTATGACCTGCACATTTCCCAGAGTCACTACCCTTGATATCAGCAGATCTTTGATTGCGTGGGCTACTTGCATCACAGCAGCCCCAACAGTAGATTTGCCCACTCCAAATTGATTCCCAACTGACCGGTAGCTGTCTGGCGTTGCAAGCTTCCACAGGGCTATCGCCACTCCCTTCTCAACTGTGAGGGCTGCTCTCATCTTGGTATTCATGCGCTTCAGGGCAGGGGAAAGCAAGTCACAAAGTTCCATGAAAGTGCCCCTACGCATGCGAAAGTTTCGCAGCCACTGGGAATCGTCCCAGACCTGCAACACTATGCGGTCCCACCAGTCTGTGCTTGTTTCCCGAGCCCAGAATCGGCGTTCCACAGCATGAACCTGCCCCATTAGCACCATGATGCATGCATTGTCAGGGCCCATGCTTTCAGAGAAATCTGTGTCCATGTCCTGATCACTCACGAGACCGCGCTGACGTCGCCTCCTCGCCCGGTATCGCGTTGCCATGTTCTGGTGCTGCATATACTGCTGGATAATGCGTGTGGTGGTTAATGTGCTCCTAATTGCCAAAGTGAGCTGAGCGGCCTCCATGCTTGCCTTGGTATGGCGTCCGCACAGAAAAAAGGCGCGGAACGATTGTCTGCCGTTGCTCTGACGGAGGGAGGGGCGACTGACGACACGGCTTACAGGGTTGGCTTCAGGGAGCTAAGATCAACAAAGGGTGTGCCTGTACATCAAGGAGTATTTCAGGCAGGACTGCACGGAGGGTTCCAATAAGAAATGGTGCACCTAAGTTATCGTTGTTATTGGAACAAGAAGGTTAGCCTGGCCTCTGATTGATACATGGCTAGATTTACCTCGCTGCACCTTCTCTGTGAGTGACTGCAGTGTGATCTAGACAGGGGAGGAGGCAAATGAGTACAAAACAAATCTGGTCTATTTCTTGTTCTGACCCACTCCATCTATCTTTTATATCTTTGGCTGGCAGCAAACGGTGCAGAAGGACTGCATGCCATCCACATCTCATGGCTGCTCGGCAGAAGATGGTACAGTACGACTGCTAGCCATCTTCGTCTCTTGCCTGCCTGGCATAAGATGGTACAATACGACTGCTAGCAATCCTCATCTCTTGCCTGCCTGGCAGAAGATGGTACAGTATGACTGCTAGCAGTCCGTATCGCCTGCCCGCTCACCATAAGACGGTTCAATAGGACTGACTGCAGGACTAAAGAGAATGACCTGGTCAAGTCACTCCAAATTTAGTCCCTGCGCCCATGTCTGCCCAGGCGCTCCCAGCCGACGTGGCCAGGAGCACCTCGGACACGATGAGGACGACTACCAGTCGTATTGCACCGTCTGCTGCCAGAAGGCAATGGGTTGCTGCTACTGTGCAGCAAAGCCATACCGCGTCTGCCAGCACCCAGGAGACATAGGGTGACGGTTACCTGAGCTGGCTCCATGCTTGCCATGGTATGGCGTCTGCACAGGTAACTCAGGAAAAAAGGCACGAAATGATTGTCTGCCCTTGCTTTCACGGAGGGAGGGAGGGAACGGGGGCCTGACGACACGTACCCAGAACCACCCGCGACAATGTTTTAGCCCCATCAGAGTGCTCCATTGTGACTGCTCTGGACAGCACTCTCAGATGCCCGATTGTTTGCCATTGCTCTGACGCTGGGAGGGGCGCTTACAGGGTTGGCTTCAGGGAGCTAAAATCAACAAAGGGGGTGGCTTTACATCAAGGAGTATTTCAGGCAGGACTTCACGGAGGGTTCCAATAAGAAATGGTGCACCTAAGTTATTGTCCTTATTGGAACAAGAAGGTTAGCCTGGCCTCTGATTGATACATGGCTAGATTTACCTCGCTGCACCTTCTCTGTAAGTGACTGCAGTGTGATCTAGAAGAATGAGTCCCCTAGACAGGGGAGGGGGGGAAGCAAATGAGTACAAAACAAATCTGGTCTATTTCTTGTTTTGATCCACTCCATCTATCTTTTACATCTTTGGCTGGCAGCAGACGGTGCAGAAGGACTGCATGCCATCCACATCTCATGGCTGCTCGGCAGAAGATGGTACAGTACGACTGCTAGCAGTCCGTATCGCCTGCCCGCTCACCATAAGACGGTTCAATAGGACTGACTGCAGGACTAAAGAGAATGACCTGCTCAAGTCACTCCAAATTTAGTCCCTGTGCCCATGTCTGCCCAGGCGCTCCTGATCGACCTCACAGAGGCGACCAGGAGCACCTCAGACATGACGATGATGGCTACCAGTCGTACTGTACCGTCTGCTGCCACAAGGCAAGGGGTTGCTGCTACTGTGTAGCAATGCCGTACCGCGTCTGCCAGCACCCAGGAGACATAGGGTGACGGTTACCTGAGCGGGCTCCATGCTTGCCGTGGTATGGCGTCTGCACAGGTAACTCAGGAAAAAAGGCGCGAAATGATTGTCTGCCCTTGCTTTCACGGGGGGAGGGAGGGAACGGGGGGCTGACGATATGTACCCAGAACCACCCGCGACAATGTTTTAGCCCCATCAGGCATTGGGATCTCAACCCAGAATTCCAATGGGCAGCGGAGACTGCGGGAACTGTGGGATAGCTACCCACAGTGCAACGCTCCGGAAGTCGACGCTTGCCTCGGTACTGTGGAAGCACTCCGCTGAGTTAATGCACTTAATGCACTTAGAGCATTTTCTGTGGGGACACACACACTCGAATATATAAAACCGATTTCTAAAAAGCCGACTTCTATAAATTCGACCTAATTTCATAGTGTAGACATACCCCTTAGGAGTATCAATTCCCACCAACTCATATTGCTACTGGAAGGAAACCAGGCAGTCCAAAAATATACTACAAGAATTTGAATCCCTTTATGTTAACTTATGCACATCCTCCCTAATAAGAGAGAGTCCTATGAAGGTAAAGTCTGAGACCCAAAAGCAGCTGGCTCAGGATGGGGTAGAATAAGTGCCCGAGAACAGAAGTGGGAGGTTCCACTGTCATGCTCCAGTCACTTCAGCAGGACTGAGCTGCTCTTGTTTTTTTCCTCTCTTCTGAACAGTTTCTTTGCATCTTTTTTTCGCCTGGCAGCATCAAGAGATTTTGGAAGATGATCCTGCAGTGAAACCTAGGCTAGACTGGATGGAACTGTGTCTCCACTGATGAACAAGGTATTTTTGTTCATTTTGAATGCAGTTCAGATCCATGGACCTCTAAATTAAACAATACGCTACCCACATTTAAAGTGAAGCACAAAAAAGTGAGCTAAGAAGCTGATATAGGTCAGGGTCTACCTTTATGGAGGCCACCAGCGGTGGAAATTCAGTTGGAAGAGGACAGAGCACACTGTTGACTGGAGCTGGAGCTTCAGCTGTGATCTAAAGCCACCTTTTCTGGGTGAAACCCCAACAAAGAGAGTTGCCACTTCTGAGCATGGCTCAGGATAAGTCACCAATGGAATACAGGCACCAGGGTGGGGCCTAGATGATGTAATATATTCCCTGGAATGGCAACCAAAGAAGGAACTATGGAAAAACCATCTTTATGACAAGTTATCCCCCTTGTCTAACTGAGATCAAGAAATTAAAGGAGAACTCAGAATTCAGCCTGGTCCTGCTTTATATCAAAAACCTGGTTAGCTGAAATAACTCATAGATGTGGAGACAGGCTGAGACGGGGTGATGTGTCAGCTGTGATGTCAGATGTGGCACACATCTCATTTGCAGTATGGAACTGGAAAAAAGGTGGTATTGGTTAATTTTTAGTTGATGAAGCTGAGACGCTGATACGAGCCATGAGCCAATTTTCTCCCTCTCTCCCCATGCACTTACAGAGATATCCAAGAAATACCAGAACCCCATTTAATAGCACACCTTCTGCAATGATCTGCCTTAATTGTATGGACACAGCACATTAATTGTTTCTAAAACAAAAATGGGCATTCTACCATTCAGAAAATAGATTTCATTTCAATTTACAGCTGGGCCAATCTTCTAATCTTCTTGAGTAAATCATAGAGTACATATTAAAATGAATAACATTTAGTATTTTGTTTGTTTTGTTTCAAAGAGGGAAAACTGTCTGTCCACATTAGAGGTTGGTAATTTTTTGTTTGCCACCAGGAGGTGCAATTGATCTTTCCAATGAACAAGCAGCTACCCCTATGCTGTCTTTCTTGGCTTGGTACAGTTTCTTTTCAGTATCAATAATGCTTTTTACTTTGATAAACGTTTTTGTCTGTGGTACTTCTTTCGTGGCATTTGATGGAGGTGGAGGATGGACAGTAAACTTTCACGTCCTTTGACGTTTGTGTTTGCTGAACTTTACTCCCTCTTTGAGGAGCTCATCTCTTTCTTCCTCATCCTCCCACAGCTCTATCTTCAGTTTCTCAGCTTGCACTCAGACCTCAGAGCCCAGGTGTATTCCAGATTTGGACAATCTCCTTTGCTGCTGTTGAAGCCACAGTAGAGACAGACAGAAATTTCACTTGCAGTGAGGAATCTCCAGTATCACTG